ACGGTTTCCATTTATAAAATTCATAAACATATTTTGTACCTGTTATAACTGTAGAAAATAAATTATTTTGATGCTGCTATCAACAAGCCAACTACAACCTTCAAATTTAGTGATGAGCTTCAGGTGAAGACAAATGTCTGTCAAACATGTAAAAGTTTAAATCCGTTGATGTTTTACGTGTTAAAGGACATCAAAGGACACTTTTATTGTTCCGGCCCACATGAGAGAGGAAAACAAGCAGTCAAGAGAAAACGTGCTACTGAAGCCCGAGCGTGGTTGGTGGGAATCCCCTGCTCTAACTGTGTGAATGACCTTTTGTGTTTCCAGATGGAAGCTTCTTAGCTGTTGGATCTCATGACAACTTCATCTACATCTACAGCGTGACTGAGAGTGGCCGCTGCTACAGCCGCCTAGGGAAGTGTAATGTGAGTTGAATGAACCCTTCTTCTCCTTCCTGGTAGTCTAACGAAGGAGAACCCTGGTCATATTTAGCTTCTTGTCAACATCGTTGCTTTTGCATCACTTACATGCATGTCAGTGAGATCATGTTCTCAGTATTCAGCTGTTCTGATGCACAACCTCCTCACCACAAGCACACCTGCTGGAGTTTCAGACTCTTATGCAGCGGCGGTGCCGGCTTCACCAGCCTAATCCGTCACTGTCATGTTACACATGGAGAAGGCAGTCAGAAGCCTTTCCTCTGAAAAGGTCCACCTTGCAAATGAAATTTTAATATTTTCTAGACCATATCAAATTTTCCTTCTCTGTCACCCATTTTCGGTTAACACTTAAAAGGAAAACTCAAAAAGTGCTGATGAGCGCAGATTGCTGAGGATGTAGTGAAGGAGTCACTCTGACCGTGGAATCAGAGGCAGGTGAACTCCTGACATCATTGTGAGGTGAATCTGAGAGCGGATTGATAAAAAAACAGCTCTGTTGTTAAACAGTATAACCAATGAAGACCTGCTCTGTTGATTCTGAAGGCCCTGGGCCGATTAGACTTCCCCTGGCAACACGTACACCTAAATCTGATCGGATGAAAAATCAAAAATACACAGACATGTAGAGGGCACGACACAAACCACAGAAACGTTACACAAACAGAGTCAACTGTTGGGAGTGAGCTAATACAGTTTAAATGGACAAGTTGTAGATGCAGTTTAGTGATTCTGATCATGTTTAGGCCAGCAGAAAAGACCTGGCTGGCCCTGACCCACACTGCCACTGCAGTTATGAGGTCTCCTTCAGCTTCCTGTTGGATCCTCGTAACACATTTGGGACTCTGGTAGTTTGTCCTAAAGCTGATGTGGTAGCAGCCGGCTATTTCTCCTTCTCTGATGTCATTGAGTCCCGAAGCTCTCACACCAGTGGTGTTCTGTTGCTGAATACGTGAGTGTGGAGGACCCAGGGGAGTGCAGCGGTTCGGCAAGACTGACAACCGGGTGGTCCAATAGTTGCTTTTGGTCCAAAATGTGTTGTTGGTGGAGGTTTTTAAACAAAGAGAACCATTATTATTATTATTGTTATTATTATTATTATTATTACTATTATTAATATTATTATTATTATTATGTTTTAAATCTCCACATTAAAGCTAGCCTGTTCTGTAGATTTGCTGTTGCAGCGTTAAAAACCTCTAATTATGCTTCGGTCCACTCCATTCTTCCGTAGGAAGAAAACCAACAACTATTTCATGTTAGGTCACGTTAAATGATGTTATTAAACTTGTTTTGGCATAAATCCTTATTTTTTATTTAAACTGAAAGTTGTATTTGACCTTAACTTTATTTGTAAACGAAGCCCCCCCTGGCTCCTGTTGCATCTTTTAGTGTTGAGCTCCTTTCTGAGGGATCAAACTTTAATTAGTTCACCTTTATGACCTGTCAGCACCCCCCACCCCACCCCTTTGGCAGCTGTTTCTCCGTCTATGGGGCTCAGCGCTGCCCCCTATCAGTGCTGCGTGGTACCTAACTGCTGTTCTACCTGCCTCCAGGGACACTCCAGCTTCATAACTCACCTTGACTGGTCCAAAGATGGGAAATACATCATGTCCAATTCAGGAGACTATGAGATCCTTTACTGTGAGTCAGCATCCATGACTTATCCAGGCTGTAAGATAAACTAACAGTACTTTTTTAAGTAATCCAGAGAATGTTTATCAATGCTTTTGTTAAATGAAGGTATTGATGGTGAAATAATACAGGCTGTGAAAAGGTTCTGGCCTTGAAAGTGAACTGATCTTTGTCAAAGCTTAAAAACCTGGATACATTCAGATTAGGCCCTAAATATTAATTACAGCATCATTATTTGACTTTAAATGTGGTCATTTGTGCTGCTAATTTACAATCATTTTATAGTGCTGATGAACTTGTGGGAATTATTCTTCAAAAGGGGAAATTGGAGATGGATGTAAGCTGCTGAGGAACCGCTTTGAGAGCAAAGACAGAGAATGGGCCTCTTACACGTGTGTGCTGGGCTTTCACGTGATGGGTGAGAAACACCAAACACGTTCCTGACCCGTAGGGTATTGTGGATGTGATGGGCTTGTTTCCTTCAGCCAGTCTGCTCACTGTGTTTGTGCGGCGTCCAGGTGTGTGGCTGGAAGGCTCTGATGGGACGGACATCAACGCTCTGTGTCGCTCTCACAGTGAGAGGGTGGTGGCCGTGGCCGATGACTTCTGTAAGGTCCATCTCTTCCAATACCCCTGTCCTAAACTGAAGGTAAAACTCTGTCCATGCTGGACTAGGGCTGCAGCTATTGATTATTCTAATAACTGATTAACGCTAACCCATAACAATCAATCAAATAAATGGCTTTCCTTTCAGGGGTCAACGACTCATCTGCCTATCTTCTGCTTTCTCTAGCCCTCGCACCAACTAACTCCATTTCTGCTTTCGTTACATCCATAGATCTCCTTTTAGTTCTTCCCCTCGGTCTTCTGCCTGGTGGCTCCTGCCTCAGCATCCTTCTACCTGTGTAATCCTTGTCTCTCCTCTGGACAATGATTCCTCTTGTTGCTCGCCGTCTCTGCGGTCAGCGCTGTAGAACAAACACAGTTGTCTTCTTTGTCTTCTAACAAGAGGGTCACACCGGAAGTACGTTGTGTAAATCAGTTTTTTAAAGTTATCAGGTGGGGAGTTATAGCTGAAGCTGTAACGCTGTAGTCACAATGACGTCTGGCCCTGGTGGCCGTGTTTAAACTGAGGAGGAACCGGTTTTCCTACTCATCCTGGCTCAGTTAGGCTCCTATCGGGTCTCTTTTAGAGAAGAGGGCAGAAGCTTTAAACTCTACAGAAAAGGTTCATGTGAATGAACACAAATCATCCACAGCTTTCCTCTGGAGGGTTATCAGAGGCTCTGTCCATATCAGGGACGCATGTATCACTGACGTTAAAGGCTGTTATTGTCCCTGTAGCACGTCCCTCGTCCTTCAGGTGGAAGTGGACAGCAGTGTTGACCTGAAGAGTGCTCTGTCTTGTTTGTGATGTCTGGTTGATCGTGTGAGGTCTGTGCACTCTTCACTTCACAACACCACTCACCTTCTGTTCAATTCAATTCAATTCAAAACTACTTTATTAATCCCAGAGGGAAACTGATTGCTGTAGTAGCTCAGAATAATAATAATAATCAAGTCATCAAAGAGTTGTTGTATATTACAGTGGCTGTTGGCAGGAAGGATCTCCAGTAGCGGTCAGTGTTGCAGCCAAACTGAAGAAGCCTCTGACTGAAGACACTCTTCCGTTGTCGGACAGTCTTGTGAAGAGAATGCTCAGGGTTGTCCATCATTTTCTTGATTCTCTGGAGAATCCTTCTTTGCATTATCTCCTCCAGCGGTTCCAAAACTGCCGAAACTCTGGCTGAGTCCTTGAAAGGGCTTGGAGTTCCTCCATCTTGTTGGCCAGTGATCTCACATTGTCCATTATGATCGATGGAAGAGATGGTTTGAATTTCCTCTTTCTCTGTCTCCGTTTTGCTCCCGCTCTGCACCCACGCTTCTTGCGTTTTAGCTCATTTGGGATTTGTGGCTTCAGTTGAGGTATTATTTCAGCCTTTCCAATAGGGCTGCAACAAACGATTATTTGGATAATTGATGAATCGGATGGGGTCTCGACACGATTAATCGATTAATCGGATTACATAGGGACATTTTTTAAAACTGCTAGGGAAACGTTAGTTCTCTCCTTCCTTCACTTTATTTAACACAACATTATTAGAAAACAGTTCAATAGCAGAAAAACAACATGCCACCACCTAAATTGTCTTATAAGGTGTATAGACAGAGACCCTAAGCTACACCTATCTGTGACCCAAAATGCTTGGTCCAAGTTAAACAATTCTCATCTGTTTTGTTTGATCTCATCTGTAGACATTTATTATAATTGGGGATGTCAAACAACTAATTTTTAAATGTAATTAAACATAGGCTGTGAATTAATCAAAATTAATCACTATTTCCAAAAATGACTGAAAAAATACCAAATAAAACAAAAGTAAATGAATGCCATCCTCCTTGTGATGATACCCTGGGCAACTGCCATAAAGTCACATCAAGAAATGCTGCTGATCATTCCAATGATCCCAAATAGACTCACATTAGTCCACATGAAAGCAACTGAACCCAAAAATACATTAACCAGTATATAACTGCACTCTCACACAACACGCCTGCAGCAACAGTTAGGACTCCTCCCTCCCTTTTAAAAGCGTTTTCGCTTCTGAGGACATTGTGGTTGTAAAACCACATGCTAGTAGTCTGGCCCCGGTGTGATCAACCAGTTTCTGCGGGAATGTGACGGCGGAACCGGTTCGCAGCAGCGCGAGTCCCCCCCCCCCCCCCCCCCCCCCCCCCCCCGCCGCCTATCTAATAGTGTTGCGCTTACGATTTTATAGACTTTTTTTACGAGCTTAGGGCATGCCTAGCCTGTGTAATAATCCGGGGCTTGGGTGAATCACTTTTGAAAAGTTTTTAACTTACCCGGACACCGAGCTCTCTCCTTCCTCGCTGATGATTCGGCATGCTTGCGTTTAAGATGCTGCATCATCACTGTAGTACTCCCGTGCCATGCTAAGTCTGACCTACAAACGTTGCAGGTAACGAATGTCTTCGCCTGATTTAACTGAAAATGCTCCCAAACTTTAGAAGTTTTTACTTTTTTTGGGTCTCGCTGCTTCTGCCATGTTCCTCTTCCAAACACCTGCCAGCTCTCCGGTCTGCACGCAAGGGGGGGGGGGGGGGGGGGGGGGGGTGTTGGGAGAGTTGTGCAACACAACGAATCAATGACGCAATTCGTTGCCAACACTTTTAGTAATCGATTTTCATCGAATTTATCGATTCGTTGTTGCAGCCCTACTTTCCAATGTTAATCTGCTGCTCCCGATTGTAAACCGGCTTGTTGCCATGTTTACGCATCATAACAAATGCTCAAAAAGTGAAAAAAGCTAAAAAAAATAGCAGTAAAAATCCTCCAAGCTTCACAGCACCAGAAACAGAAAAGTAAAGTGTCCAAAAAAATACAGTTTTTCTTGAGAAACTAGAAGCAAAAATGCCCAAGAAAAGGCAAAACTTACATATAGTCAACAGAGCTACTCCGACATGCAGCCACCCAGAGCAGCGCAGTTGGGACGTTCTCTCCTTTGGGTGGATCGGGTTCTGTCGGAGGCTGCTTGCTCTGAGACTCAAAGATTGGTGCTCCTCATTTTCATTTTGAATTGATGAGGCTCTTCGGATAGAAAAAAAATTAAACTTCTTCTTGTTGTGGACTTTTCTTTCACCCTTCCTCCCCAGGCGCCAAGCCACAAGTACGAGGGTCATGGCAGCCATGTCACCAACGTCCGCTTCACACACAATGACTCCCACCTCCTCTCAATGGGAGGGAAGGACACCTGCATTCTTCAGTGGAGGGTGGTCAGAGGTGGGGCAGGGAGCAGCAGGGAGAGGCTGCCCTCAGCTTCGTCCACTTCCACCAGCTCTCCGGAGCCTGCAGCCAGCTAGTGAGGGCTGCATCCATGGATTTTGACCTCTGCTGTCAGTTTCATCTTGACTTTTTTTTTTCAGAGAAAAGGACCATATTGATATCATGCCTGAAACATGTAGGTCCTTATGAAACTGACCAGTGTACTACTTCCTGTAAACATTCTGTTGCGTTTGCAGCGAGGAACCATACAAAGTCATGTTTGGTTGGTTTTTAACTTTTTCTTTGGTTCTTCTTAAGTCGTCAAATGAACTAAAGTGTTGCTGAAGCCATTTACAACAGGTGATGACAAAGATGTTTGACTTGTTTTTTTTTACAGTGTTTGTTGAACATCCAAGTTCGGGACCAAGCTGAGTTTATCCTCATCATAGATGAGGAGGAGACGAACCCTTTCCATTTAAATCAATGTTGAATCTCTTTCCAAATGGTGTTTGTGGCAATAGATCCGTCTGTTTATAAAGTTATTTTTGCTCTCCATGTTGCTTAGTGCAAGTTCTAAAAGGGTAGACTGTACGGTGTGTTGTGTGTAAGTCGTCACTAGGGGACAGTGGTGGCCCATGAACGGAGCTGCCGGGTCGGATCTCTGTTCAGCAGAGACCTGCTGCTAGTTAGGACTAGATCACCAGGTGTTCCTGTTAAAGCTTTGGGAATAATGTAGATGGGATGTAAACGAATGTTTAACCGTGTTTGATTCTAACTGATCTTACAAAAGCAAAAAGCCAATAAAAGCATAAAACTGTTGGAATGTCTCAGTTTGGTGGGAATTTTAAATTTGACTTTACCAAAAGTGATTGTAGTAAAAAGTATGTTTAAGAAGGTTCAGCATGTGAATGAAGTTTGATACTCCAACAACATCTCAGTACAAGATTAGTGTGATTATGTTATGGAAGTATTTTCTACCTCTTCAGTGGAAACAAAGATCTAATTATGACTTCAGTGCTGTGGATCAGGGAGTTATGGACCTGAAAACTGCACCAGCCAGAGTCTGCGGCAGAACTCTGAAGAACATATAAGAACATGTAGAATAATTACGCTTAAAGGTTTCTGAGTCCGATTTGAATCAAGAGTTGATCCTGGGCAGGGCAGTGATGCGTGCAGACTAGCTTTGGCGAGGCTAGGGTTGGGTAAAACATGAGATAATCACAAAATCCGAGGTTTGTGGGGGCCTGGGCAAGAGGCAAAGTCGATGCATGGGGTGACTGTGGGTCAGGGTTGGTGGTTTGAACCCAGGTGTTCAGGACCAGTGGAACGTGTTTGGCAGCCTGGAGCATCTGTGGCTGTTGTAACATGTCACCATTGGTGTGTGAATGAAGGATTTACTGTAGTGTAAAGCATTTAGAGCTTGTCTGACTAAGAAAGCTGCTATAGAAGTGCAGGTCATGTGTCATGTATGCAGGCAGTAGTTCCTCAGTAGCAACTCAAAACACAATACTCAGCTTTATCAGTAGGTGGCACTAACACAACATAGAAATTGAATTGGGTGTCCTGTTTTAAAGGTGTGGTTGACTGAAAAAACATTCCATTTTTAAATTGGTCAATCTGAGTTTTTCATGCAGGCTGAACATGAAAATAGTCTCCAACTCCTGCATTAGCTTCTGATATAAAATAACTGTGAAAATCCTCTCAGATCTATGTCACACTGTAACTTAGTGTTCATGGGCCCAACACTTGCATTTCCACACTTCCCACGCCATCTTAGTTCAGTTCTCTGAGTTCTCTACTGTGCACTGCAGTTCACCGCATGCTAAGCGAAGTATCGGACCGGCCACCCGGACTTCCTTTTTAAGCAAAGAACCAACAAGCTGGATAAAATTTGTTGCACTTTACCAACCAAGCAACGGTTCCTTTCAGAATAAAAGCTGAACTCACTGACCCTCTGGGTCCATCTGACGCTGTGAACCAACTGTTGCTTTTTACCTGGAGACAATCCAAAGACTAGTCTGTCGTACTGCTGACGCTGTTTCACCGGCTCCGGTACCAAAAGGGGGGTCCGAGGACCTGGCATTCTGGATCTTTACGGAGGTCTCATCAAGGGTATGTGTGGAGCGACAAAATGGCGTCTCATGTGTTTATAATCAAACTCTGATCATAGCTTAAGAGCAAAACATCACAACATCATTCAGACTTGCTTCTCCGGATACGAGAGTTCTGATTAACATCACACACATACACCATCCATCTCACGTCTCATTACACCAGATCCATTCATCACTTAGTCAGAGTTAGTCTTGTGTAGAATTGTGTAGAAATAAATCTTCTTAAACACTTTAAAAGTGACTCTCTCTTCTCTTGCCTCTGACTTAATACAAGTGTTACATAATCCCTGTAGTAAAACGTTCCAATCTTCTGGTTAAAATAACCCAATGGTCTGTAAAATTGATTTCATATTTACTATGGAATCTTACGTCTTACGGGTCCTTAATTAGATGTAAATTAACTTCTTTTACACACCCTTTGATTGTGCGATCTCAGGCAGGGGTGCGAGTGCGTAGGGAGTCCCGATTCTCGAGTGCAGAAGTTGATCATGCCCGTTTTGCGTCCTTGATCTGCATTTCACCCAAATCCACATGGATGCAAAGGGTATTACCCACAATCCATTGCTGCAGGAGAAAAAGCTCAAGTGCCTTTTCTGAAAATAAGTAATTTTAAATGAAAGTAGTTCATTTTAGAATGATTAGTTGAAGCCCTGAATGTTTTAGACAAAGGAGCAATGAATGTAAATGTATTTCAAATAATTGTTTGGTTGTTTGTTTGATAGTTGTTAATAAAGGTTTTTGTTTTTAAAGTAGCACAGCGACTACCATCCCAGCATGCGTTGCGGTCGATGACGCAAAGCTCCCTTTCTGACTTCAGCAATTATTTGCACACTTGTGTACCACACATTCGAAGCCTTACAATGCATGTCCTCCAAGTGCACCTCACAGAAGACCGTAGGGCTCAGTGCGAGTATTGGGATTGGACAATGGACTCACTGATCTTGAATACTGAAGAACTTGGCTGTCGTTGTTTTAATGTCAGGTTTCAGCAGAAAACATCTAGCAAAACCGCCACATGGCAGGAGCTCCTCCCGGCTTGTGTTATGTGTGGAGATAAAACAAAAAGTTGCAAGTCAGTGATGGTCTTGTCGTTGTTATCCAATCTGAGGCGAGATGTCCAAATATCAGGAAATAAGACACCAAAACTAGCCGTCTGAAGCTCATCTGTGATATAGGCAACTTTTAGTTCTGAGAAATGGTGCGTCAGTATATTTTTCCCCGGAGAACAACTTACAAGGTATTCCTTCCTTCTAGAGACCACTGCAAATGTGTTGATTTAACAAATGAACCACTCCTTTAAATCTTACACACACACACACACACACATATATATATATATATACAATGAGAAGGAAAAAACACATTTTACAGCAACTGCTGCAGGTATAATGGCAGCTCTGTTAAACTAACATCAGGCAGGGGCGGCGTTAGGCCTGGCTACTTGGGCTGAAGCCCCGGATGTTTCATGAAAAGCCCCGGATCTAAAACGTGGAAGTAACATGCAGTACCAAAGTCCAACAGAGAGGGAGCAGCTGGCAGTAGTTTGTATACAGCCTGCCTGAGCCTCCACCACTGAAGAAGAAGCCCTTCAGCAGCCGGCTTCTTCTACACTCTCTGCCTGAAACGCATGAGTGAAGATGGACATAAGGACGTTTTTAGACCAAAAGTACAACGACACAACCCCAGCTTTGATGAGACTGGTGCTGACTCAGGTTTGTGAGTCTTATTTGAAAATATTTGTTGTGCTGCTGGTTTGCCTAAAGTTAGCTTATCAGGTAAAGTTGATGGAGAAAGAAAGGGAATATTTACTATCATCCCACACTAAACGCTAACAGGAACAATACTCTGCCCTGAAAATGCTTAATGTGTAGCTTCAGATTAAAAATTATGTGGTACAAGACAAATATGATGTTGACTAGTGCGTGTCATCTGTGTGTGTGTGTGTGCGTGCGTGCGCGCGTGTGTTAAGCCCCGGATCTTCTTCAGTCCTAAATCCGCCCCTGACATCAGGTGTATCTAAATTAGGGAGTGACAGAGAGGAAGAAAATGAGATCCTGCACTTTCTGCATACTAGCTTTCTGTAGCAGGGAAGCTGTTGACCAATGCCCTGAAGACGTTCAGTTCATGGATGCTGATTGGCCCAGAAGTCACGACTTCTCCCTAGCAACCAAGTACTATTTGCTGTTTAGCTGTAGTTCAGGGGCACTTTTCCCCGTGCCCTAGGAGTGAAAGTGTGTCTGGTGGATGAAATTCACTGTTTATAGAGAGACTAGTGAAAATAAATCATATTGCATGTGGGCACTCACAGTTACGGAAAAATAACTCATTTATTATTAAATATATGAATATATATTTTAGTTTAATTGTCTTTTTAATTTTTTTTTCTCCCCTCAGGACAGGAAGGGCGGCGCCCTAGCGCCCCTATGGATGAGCCACCACTGGTCAGATCAAAATGCAATACGTGTTTCATTTGTTTCATCAATGGAATATGTGTTCATTTCATTATTATCAGATAGTTAGCCATATTCATGAGTTATTAAAATCAGGCACAGCCTGAAACAATCTATAAAGACAGTCCTCCTTGGCTCTGCGTGTCAAATGCCTCCTTCAGTAGCTATGCTGCTATAGGCTTAGAATGATGAAAGACATACTGGCCACTTTCCCACACTCTGCTACTCTCTTTTTTCCACTACTCTACAATTACAATATTTCCTGTTATTTCAGCTGTTTGCATTCAGTGTTTCTCTCTCCAGAGAAGCTACACCAGGTCTGGCGGTCTTTTCCGCTGTGACGCCTTCCAGGAGGGTCCATAAGCTGGCGTACTACATTCTCCTTTTCCTGCTATTAACTTTTTATTTTCAATAAAATAGAAAGGACGCACACTCCAGTTGGTCTATGTAAATATGTGTATCTGCTGTGTCTTCTCAAACCCCCTAGTCCCTCATGGCTGATGGCTGCTCAGCCAGGTTGATATCAAATTATTTTATTTTTTATTTATTTATGACAATGTGTTTATTAATGTTTCTGTGTATTTGAAAAAACAAAGCATGTTGACAACATCACAACTGAAAAGGAGTTGTTTCACACCTGAGCATTTTTTGTGATTTTATGTGGCCGAGCGAAACGTTTTCCGGAGATTCACGACAATTTCCGAAGGTGACGATCAGCGCACGAGCGAAGGGAACCAGTGTGTGTGTGTGTGCGCGCGCGCGCGTGTGTGTGTGAACTGAGCGGAGGTGAAGAAGAGGAGGACGAAGCTTGGAGCGGAGGATGGGAGGAAGAGTGGAGTAAGAGATAGGCTAGCAGTGTGTGAATGAGTGAGTTAGTGAGGAAGAGGATAAGAAGGTCGTCCGAGGGGCCGGAAAAAAGAATACTTGTATTTTGGGGGACAAGCTCCGGAGCATTAGTCACGGAAACTTTTAACTTTTTACCCGCCACAGCTCGGCTTGTGCCCGGAGCCGGCTTTGTTTCGCGGCGGGGGTGTCTGAGATAAATGAAGGAATAACACAGATCCCCGTTGATGTTTTTTACCCAAGCGGGGATTACCCTGGGACTGATTTAGATAAAAGGTTACAAGAGGATGGCGGCTAACATGTACCGAGTTGGAGGTAACGCATTTTTTAAATCTTTGAGACACCCTCTTCTTACACACTCCCTTTCACACAATGTGATTGTTCGTTTTCGACATGGGGACGGCTAGCTAGCCGCTAGCTGTCTGTTCATTTAGCCGCTAACTAAAGCTAGCCCCTTCAATGGCTTCGTGCGTGCGTCAAGTTTGGAAGAACGTCACAACATGTTAAAACACACAAACAGTCACTTAGCGATTTATTACTGCTTTGTTTTACTCCACGTGTGCACATTTACTGTCGGGGCTGCTTCTACACGAATATGTGAAGTGCAAATGTTAACTTTCGAAATCGATATTCCAGTTTCTTTTGCCTCAATAAAATAACCCACGACGGGCTGGTGTCGGGCAGCGTGAACTAGTTATGAAAGTTTAAAATAAAATAAAAGGGATGCTACAAAGTAAACGCTGCTTATCGTCTGTTGTACCCGTGACTGTAAATTCACATGGGAACCGTGAATGGCTTCAGGTTTTCACCGTGAAGTGCGTATAAAACCGTAGTAAAGTGCTATTAGCATTAGCTGCTAGCCGCTGACATGTCAGCATCGGGCTGAATGAAGCCGCGTCTGTTGTCGCGTTTGTTTCTTTTTCTGTTATAAATTAATTATCCGTGTTAGTTTGTTGACTTTTACTGTTGTACTGTTTTAAACACGTGACGATGATGCTTATAAAGCTGTTTTTGAGGGAAGATTTTCCTGAATCAGATCTGTTCTGTTTGGTGATGGTGGAGTTTTGTAATTTAATAGAATTAGACTTTTTGCGTTAGTTCCTGTGAAAATGTAATAAGTAGCGTCACAAATATCACTCCAGCCTGCACATTTGAATAATTCTTATTACAACTGTCAGCTTTTTCTTAATCAGAAGTTGATGAGTAGCTGTTCACATTATGGTGCATAACTGGTTAATAAAGTCTTTATATTTGCTTTTTATTTTATGTCACTTTGTTTTTGTGTATTTTTGTGTAAATCTAGTTTATAACATAAGTGCTTGATATAAGAACTTTAACATGAACAAACTAGACTGACCTGAAATGTAGTTTTTCACATCCCAGTGGGTCAGTATTGTAGTTTTTAAATAACTTTATTGTCTATCACATTTGGGATTTATGATAATGTCACCCAACATTAGTTACCTGATGTGGAGCATCTGGTGTTATTGTGAGCTGCAGAAAACAGAGAGAAGTTTGTGCTTCAGACTCTTGATGCTCTTTAGAAGCATGGCGGTCTTCCACCGTACAGTCCTGATGCTAAAGACAGTATATAAAACATTTTATTATTTATCACCAAAATTATAAAAAAAAATGTATTGAGAAGGTAGCTTGCCATTAGACACTTTGAAAAGCATTAAGGCAGCTTTTATGAAAGAATATTCATAAGTAAGAGCATTTACAGCACAGGTAAGACAGCTGTCCAGTATTATAACATGTTATTAACTAAGTGCATCTGGTGAGTTCATGTTTTTAGCAGCTGATGAGAGGAGATTCTGAATGTTTGTGTTGCCACTGTAAGAGCGTTTGTCTGCTGAACATGCTGTTTCACATGAGCATTTAGTCAAATACAAATGTCAAGTTCTTAATGTGTTTTTAATTTTTATGTAGTTCCTAATATTACCAGTTCACCAGAGGCAGAGTGTTCAGCCTTCATGTAAGATCTTTATCCTCCACACAGATTAGTCAAATGGCTTCCTCCTTTTTATTCACCCTCAAGCACCTCTCTCACGGCACTGCGCTAGCCACACGTCACCTCTAAAAAAATAACAGCACACTTCAGCTTTGGTTGTAATTTTGTCTAATGAAGGATACTTACTAGTCACATCAATGTGGGTCTAACTGGGCTTTTTTCTTACAGAGGGAATGCAATAAAAGCTGTCAGTGTGAAATTCCGGATTTTTCAGCTAGAGGAACGAGAGCATTCCTTCATTAGTTTTACTGTAGAGGGATAAAAACGAGGGCACCTGGTCATCTTGAATCTGAAAGAAAAGAGACTTCCTGTATCACCACTGCAGGTGCTACAGTTCTTAGTGTCAGATTCATGAAATTGTACGTCCTTCTCTGGTGTTTGACCAGGTGTTATGTAATGTGGTGAGGACGCATCCCTTCCCTGTGAACAATGAAGGGATGCATCCCTATTCAGACTTCACAATCAGTGTGTTAAATAAGGAAGAAATACTCTCCTCTTTACAGTCGATCTCTGTCCACATCTGCTAGTGTTAATCCGATGTGTTAATCAGAATCCCAGTGAGACCCTCCTGAGGTTCCCGGTGCTTGTATGTGGGCGGACCACATGGAGCTTTCTCTCAGGAACAGCATAGGAAGTCATGGGCTCTTAACAGTAGAGCAGATTAATAATTCTGAAGGAACAAATAATGACTTCTTTCTACCTGCAGCTGCTTTAGTTTTTGTAATTTATGTTCTAATCTGCACATTTTCATGGGTCTGTCAATCAAATGTTTATCATGTCTTTTTGAGCTTTTTATCATGTGACCTGTTTTTGACTGCATTCATGCATTTTCCTGTTTCAGTTGCAAATTTAGAGTTTTACTTTGAAGATCTTGTAAAGCGCCAATGGAAATGAACCCTTTGATGCATAATGGTCACTACAGTGGACAGGTACTCAAAATTGTTATTTGTTTTTGCTATTAAGCACAGCTGTTGAAGACTTTATTGCATTTGAGCCCCTCCATTTGGACTTCAGTAAGCCAAGCCAACATATTTCATGCTCAGAATGCACGCTGTCCACTGAGGTGGACATGTAATAAATTATTTGTAAATGATAAAATTTTGCAAAAAATATTTGTTGAAATTTGTTTTATTCACACCTAAAGACAAATGAAAAAAAATTGTTTAAAAAAATCATGGTTGAAAATTTCATAATTCATGCATCAAAGGGTTAATTGTGTCATCAGGCTCGTCTCCTCTCCCAGAAGCTAGTCTCTGATCTGAAACCTGCCTCCCCTGGCCTGCATAGGATATCCCCTTCTTTCCACTGCACATGAAAGCTTCGCGTAATGGCTGCGAAACGTACTACGCTGCAATTAGCCACCAATATAGTTTATGAATTCCTTTCTACCGGCCACTAAGTCTGACGTTTTGGACGCGCCCCTGAAGCTAGGGCACGCCATCATTACGTTTCAAGTCTTTTTTTGACGCCTTACGCTTTCCAAAACACGTCAAGCTCTGCAGTTTAGAACTCAAAAGCAGTGTAGAATAGGGCTGGATGATAATCCAATAGTTCAATATATCTATTGATAGGCGTGTAGTGTGATAGAAAAAAAATGGGTCAATAAAACTCGGAAAAAAAGTTTCCTTATCAGGTAGCAGCAAACTAGACTCACTACTTATTCCTAACCAATCAAAAGCACAGACTTGGGCACACTACGTCACCGGGCCCTCCCCTCAAACCAAAACAGAGCAAGAGGCAGCAAGATGAGGAGGAGTGCGAAGAGGCGGAGAAAAAATACAAATACCACAAATAAAATGGCCAGGGCTGCACGTACAATATTTTTTCTACAACTTTTAAAATGTTTTTCAATAATATTGGACATCATTCGCTATAAAAATATTTTATCAATGTACCTTTTTTTTATGTCCAGCCCTAGTGTAGAACTAGAACGTAAAGGTCATACGCAGTACGTCATTTCCTGTGAACTTATGTGACCGACGTAAACAGAACAGAAAATAACCCACAGACATTTTTTCATGCATGCAGCTGTCTTTCTTCTTGTTTATTATTGTTTGTGAGCGTCTGAAATCGCGTGTGGTGTTGCAGTTCTCCCGTGGTTTTGTGACGTCTCAGCTGTGTGGAACGCTTTCACTCCCGTTTCGTGTCAGAATTGCTCCAGGTTGGGAATGAGCTCGCGGGTAGATCGCCGCTATTATGTTACGTGACCGCTTTCACAGCCAGTGGAAAGCTGGGGTAAGTGTCTTAGGCAACTATTGTCATGTAGCAGACTTGGTAGTGCAGTGGCTAGAGTGATCGATGACCTGTGGGGAGCTTCCGGTTCCAGGTGAGCATCCTGAACTGAGACCACCTGGTTTCAGTCACAGTACCTCTGCCCCCAAAGGCTCTACTATTCTCTGTACTGGAGCGGGGTTCCAGCATGCATGCGCCAGTTGGCATAGGTCTACGGTAGAGAATGCTTATAGTCTGTATGATGCATAGATTGTTTAGTTATCATGTTTTTTTTTGTTAATGTATTTTGTGATCCCTATCTTCTTTTTCTTCTTCGTGTGAAACTGGTGGGGCGGGGCCCCCTATGGATGAGCCGCCACTGAAAGGCAGTCACTTAAACCACACTGGACTACAAAGGTCAATACAACAGCAGGCTGGTCTAAGTTGTAGGTGCGTTTGTCAGAGCAGGCGTGGGCAGAGTTTCACTGAAACAAACTTCATTTCTTTAAACGTTTCATTTCCGGTTATGAATTCAGGAAAATAACTTGTATTTAAGATAAATGACATGTCAACAGTGCCAGAGGTAGTAGTTTATCATATGCGGTGCCTCCCTTTGCTCTCAAAGGTTTAAAATAGCATGATATCTACCCTTTAAGTAATATGAGGGTTTGAGATGCACTGATGTATTATTATTGCCCCTTTTCTGTGTTACTGAACAGGTCTGCGTGGTGGAACAGTGGGTTAACCCTGTTGTGTCACAGCAAAGACATCACAGGTCTGATTCCCAGCTTGGGCCTCTGTGTGTGGAGTTAGCTTGTTCTCTTCATGTTTACGTTTTTCTTCCTGTGCTCTGCGTGGGTCTTGGTTCATGTTAGATTAACTGGTAAATGCAATTTGGCCCTCAGTGTATGTACATGGTTATTTCCCTCTGTCACCAGTCTGTTACCGGTGACAGACTGGTGACCCATCCAGATGTAATTCCACCTGTCACCCACTGGAGGTAGACAAGCAGCTCCCCAAGACCTTTAATAGGATCAAGCAGATGTGGAAAATTATATGATTGTATGTTCCTGAACAGCAGAAATGCAGAAAT